TTTTTTTTTTTTTTTTTTTTTTTTGCTCACTTAGTCTTTTTTTTCTTGATCCTTAACCACTAACCCCATCTCCCCCTCTCGCAAAAGTAGACTGCTATTTGTTTTCTTTTTTTTTATTCGCTCACTTAGTCTCTTTTCTCGTCCTCAACCACTTACGTCATCCTCCTCTTTCACCGACGAATAGTGCTATTCGTTTTCTTTTTTTTCTTTTCTTACTTAGTTTTTTTTCTCATCCTCGACCACTTACCCTTTCCCCCCCTTTCGCCGAACAATAGTGCTATTTGTTTTTCTTTTTCTTCTTTGCTAACTTAGTCTTTTTTTTTTTTTGTCCTCAACCACATACCCCCTCCCCCCCTTTCGCTGAAGTAGACTGCTATTTGTTTTCTTTTTTTTCTTTGCTCACTTAGTTTTTTTTCTTGTCCCCAACCACTTACCCCATCCCCCCCTTTCCTCGAAGAATATTGCTATTTGTTTCTTTTTTTTCTTTGCTCACTTAGTTTTTTTTCTCGTCATCGACCACTTATCTCCCCCCCCCCTTTCGCCGAAGAATAGTGTTGTTTGCTTTCTTTTTTTTCTTTGCTCACTTAGTCTTTTTTTTCGTGGTACTCATCCACTTAACACGTCCCCCCCTTTCGCCAAAGTATACTGCTATTTGTTTTCTTTTTTTTCTTTGCTCACTTAATCTATTTTCTCGTCCTCAACCACTTACCCCATCCCCCTCTTTCGCCGAAAATACTGCTATTTGTTTTCTTTTTTTTCTTTGCCCACTTAGTTTTTTTTCTCATCCTCGACCACTTACCTCATCCCCGCCTTTCGTCGAAGAATAGTGCTATTTGTTTTCTTTTTTTTCTTTGCTCACTTAGTCTTTTTTTTTTTGGTCCTCATCCACTTACCCCATCCTTTTTTTCGCCGAAATATACTGCTATTTGTTTTTTTGTTTTTCTTTTGCTCACTTAGTCTTTTTTCTCGTCCTCAATCACTTACCCCATCCTCCTCTTTCGCCGAAGAATACTGCTATATGTTTTTTTTTTCTTTGCTCACTTAGTTTTTTTGCTCGTCCTCGACCACTTAACCCATCCCCCCTTTTCGCTGAAGAATACTGCTATTTGTTTTCTTTGTTTTCTTTGCTCACTTAGTTTTTTTTCTCGTCCTCGACCACTTACCCCATCCCCCTCTTTCGTCGAAGAATAGTGCTATTTGTTTTCTTTTTTTTCTTTGCTCACTTAGCCTTTTTTTTCTTCGTCCTTAACCACTTACCCCATCCCCCTTCTTTTCTCTTTGCTCACTTAGTCTCTTTTTCAATCCTCAATCACTTACCCCATCCCCCCCTTTCGCCGAAGAATACTGCTATTTGTTTTCTTTTTTTTCTTTGGTCACTTAGTTTTTTTGCTCGTCCTCAACCACTTACCCCATCCCCCCCTTTTCACCGAAGAATAGTGCTATTTGTTTTCTTTTTTTTCTTTGCTCACTTAGTCTTTTCTTTCTTGGTTTTCAACCACTTATCCCATCTCTCGTTTTTGCTGAAGAATACTGCAATTTTTTTTTTTTTTTTTCTTTGCTTCTTTGTCTTTTTGTTTTGGTCCTCCTCTACAATCACCCATCCCCCTCTTTCGTAAAAAAATACTGCTATTTGTTTTCTTTTTTTTTCATTCCTCCTATCAATACCAATTCCCTAGGCTTCATTGAAGACAAGATTTTTTTTATTTTTTTTTTCGTGAAGTATCTCGTCTTTTTTCACATCCTCCTCACAAATAATAATTTGAAACATGAAGATGGGGCACTTTGTATTTTTTTGCTCCCTCGCAAATAATAATTTGAAACAGGAAGGGGGGGTGGGGGGACTTGATCTCTTTTCATGACGTCCTCTCGAAAAAAAATATATATCAAAACGGGGGGGGGAAGGAACTGGGATTA